GATGCAAATTCGAAGGATACAAGGAGCGAAATAATAAAGATACGATCTTTGGGAGGGAAAGCGGAGAGGAGACGCGAACGGCGTTGTATATCTTCGATTTAATTACTCGATGTTTACGAGTTATTAACAGGTAGAAAACTAAAAAAGATTTTTAATCGCGAATCGCTGTGACGGGCCGGTCAATAAAATCGAGGAGGAGGAGGAGGAAGAAGAAGAAGAAGAAGAAGAAGAAAAAGAAGAAGAAGGAAACGTGCTCTGTGCGCCGCTTTTACGATCGTGTAACACTTGGACGATAATGCTATCCGACGATCGAAACGATTGAGAAATTACAGTGGATAGAGAGACGCGGAATATACGCGAGCTTTTCGCTTTTTTCTCTCTCTGCAACATCGAATATGAAATTATCAGAAATTTTGCACGCGAATGAAAATATTTTTTATACTTTAGCAATTTAAATATAATCTATTATGAACAATCTCTGCGAGTGTATTCACGAGTACGTTAAGGTTTTGGCAAATATTTACAAAAAGATAGCTCGATGATTTTTTTTTTTTTAAATACATTGTCAAGATCATTGATATTGCTAATTCCATTCTAAGTTTTCCATAGTTCTAAGTTTAATTTCCCTTAAATCGTTTAAAAAAAGTTGGATTTAATAAAATTAAATTAAATCCGATCTAACTTAAACTCGAATAAATCATGAATTTTTGGTCATCAGAGCTTTTATTGGAAATTTAATTATATTAGTTTTAATCATTAAACTTATTAAATTATAATCGAGTGAATTTTAATTTTTAAGATTTAACTTTTACTCTTATGGATTAATTTTTTATTCTTTAAATAATAATAGAAGAGAATAGAGAAAATCGATGATTATCTGGGTTTTGTTTAATGTTTCATGTAATAGTAGAAACAAACGCTCTTTCGTTTCTCTTCGCTATCTCTTTTATAAATCTTTTATAAATCACCAAATTTGTAATAATAATCACGAGATACATATTGATACGTCTGATAAAAAAAAAATCGTAAAAAAATTCAAAGACTCCGTTACGATTGACAGTGAAGAAGGTACACTTTTGCTCTCGTCACGAGACCCCTTTGTGCGTTAACAAAGAGAAGAACGAACTGGTTTTCGAGCGGTGCAACGACTCCATCGATCCGGATAAATATGTGTATTATCCTTCTGTATCGCGAAATTTTGTTTACAAAATCTCTCGATTCTTCCTCGATGAGGGAGGAAAAAAAAAAAAAGGGAGCGTAACCGTTTTCGCTATTTTCACGAAGCGTGCTACCCGGCAAGAAATCTTCTCGTCCCGGCAAGAAATTGCCTTTGTCCCTGGTGAACGGTGCTTTCAATGAAAAGGCTTCTCTCTCTTGTTTTTCTCCGAGTGAGGGCGCCCTTGAGGACTAAAAAGGTGGTAATTTAACGACCACGAGCGTGACGTGTCGGGTAATAGGAAGTGGATTTTATTCTCGTTTATTTATCCTGTTTGTTTACAATTTACGAGAGACAGAGAGGCTTTGTAGGAATTTTTAGGGGCGAGCTTGTGAAAAGTGGTTGTCGTTGAAGATTTTTCTATTTGTAACGTTTGTTACGTAAAACGTTTATCGTTTATAAATAATAATAATTGGAATACAAGGGAAAAATTGTTCCCTTTAATAATGCATCGTGTTCGATCGAGTGAAATCAAACATTGGAAGGATTTATCAAAAGTTGGATTTGGCAAGAATGGAAATTCTGGAAACGGCTCGCCGCGTATATATTTCCGCATCTGCGATCCACATTCGTCACAGCGCATCTCCCCCAGCTGGCTGGCTTCTGCCTGTCCGTGGATCTCGGTTTGAGAACCCCTCTAAGACGTTTTTGTCCTTCTTGCCGGGGCCTCGACGGCAGTAGACGAGGGGCTGGTGAGGCCAAGGGGTGACCCGTTTTGCCTCACCTGAATGTAGGGGCAGGGTTTTTGGTCGTGGTGCACAAAGGTGCTGCGCCCCAAGGATCCCTTGACTTCGGTTACCTGGATGAGCAACATCTGCGCCAGTCGACGTCGAGATTTTGCCGCGAAACATCTTGCTCTTGCCTCTCTCGTCTCGAGTGTCTCGCCTTTCCGAGACGACGCTTTCTTCCACGAGCCACGTTACCAACCATTTTTATTATATTAACGTTCTCCTCCGCGTTTTAATAACAATTTTAATGATAATTTTTACGAGTGACTTTTTTTTTTTCTTTTCTCTTATTTGTCCTTTTTCATTTTATCGCTCGGCAAATATATATAGAACGTGATTGACGGCGAGTTAACGTGATTGACAAAAAGCAGGAAGGAAGGGTGGGGAGGAGACGGAATGTTGAATTCATAAAAAGAGATTGTAAATGGATATTAAAGTGGCGGCTAATGACTTCGTTCTCGATGGCTGAAAGGTGTCTGGGGCTCGAGTGAATCGTGATGGAATCCGATCGAAAGCTGAATCTAAAAATAACCATCCCGTACAAGATAATAATAATAATAATAATAAAATTCCATTCGACCCGCTAGCACGATCGAATGTAGATAAACAACACTTGTTGGTCCTCGAAGGGGTAATTTTTAATCGAGTCCTCGAACCTTTGTCTCGATCTTTTCTACGTCGGGAAAGGAAAATTTCGGGGAATGGTTGGCGGGCGTTGTTGGATTATGAAGCGGGTAATAATTGCGGCCGATAATTTATCGACGGGCAGAGGCCCGGTAAATAAGTGACTCGTGGCCAAATAAAGGAACACATCAAAGGCAGCCTCTCTCGCGAGGGTCGACGGCCGCTGATCGACGAAAAGCGGCGACGAGCAACCGGCGCTGAAAATATCGCCGTTTTCACCGCGCGTGCACGGCCGAAAAGCGGGATGCTCGTCCCTTGGACGAGCCGATTCGTCGTCAGTGGGCGCGATTCGTCCGTTTTGAACGTTCGTCCCTCTTTCGCGAGAGGAAACGCGTTATAAATATTTAAGAAGGAATCGTCGATGAGAAAAACGGTGATCCAATAAATAATCCGATTTAAAGTGCGTGGCAAGGCGCGTTTTCTTCTGACAAAATTCAAGGATTACCGGTGTCTCTCTCCTCTTTTTTTTTTAACAATCCATCCAGGATTGAACCAGCTATACCAGTCTTCCAGCGAAACCAGTTGCAAAAAAGTAAAAAATAACACTTGTTGGGGGATTGTTGATCGATCGAGGGACACAATAAGAGTTGCATTTTCTCGACGATTCGAAAATTTGAAATTCCCTTCTCGCCAACCAAGATCGCCAATGGACTTTCTCCCCTCGGAACGAATGAAAACAATGTGATTTATTAGAGTTGTGTTTTAACCCGTGGATCGTTTAAATAGCCTGCTGTCGATTTAAATCCCTTGGAGGAGGGAGAAGAGGTTTGTATACCTGGCCGTGCCTCTTCCAGGCCTGGATCCCGTTTTTCGGGTAGAAAGAAAGAGAGACGGCTGGCTGGAAATCCTTGGCTCGTGCTTCCGCGTGTGAATAAAAATCCACGAGGAGGGAGTAGCGTTGTGACGAACGATTCGCCACGATTGTTGGAGGACGAATTTCATCCTTCCCTAGATAAAAAATTTAAAAATTTTAAAACTCGAGAGAAGAAGCTTCCGTGTTTTACAGTTAGTGAAAATGGTCGAATATCGAGCGAGTGATTGATCGATCGATTCGAGTATAAAGTCGGTCGTTGAAAAGGATGATTGATGAATAACGCTCGAAATAACGTGGAAAGTATATTCGATAAAGTTTTGCATGCAGTGATGACGACGATGCTTGACAGAGCGTTTGATGAATCGCCCCGTCGATTAACCGAAACAGAAGAAAATCCGTTGGAATGTTTCGTTATCTGTCTCTGCCTCGCCGCAGTGTCTCGTCTCAACGTTTATTTACACGACTCCAACACTTTTCCTTGAAATCGGGATTCCCTCGTGGTGGACGTTGATTAAGAAAAAGAAGAGTGGTCGACGAAAATTACTCTTAAGCATTGTCAACAATTGGCGATCGATCGAAAGAAAAAAGAGTGGTGGGAGAAACTTGGCACAAGGAGGAGGAGAGTGGCTCGTGTTCGATGTTTCTCAACCGCGAAACCGGTGACGCAGTCCACCGATTGGCCTGCATCCTGACATTGGACGGTGTGTTATCGGTTATCTCTCGCACGTGCACGATAACGGGCCGCCCTCGTGAAGCGAGATTTCAAGCGGACGAGAAACCGTTCTCTCGCTCCGATACCACGCGTTTTCCAGTTTGTCGCTGGGAACAATAGTCTGGGGGAAGAGATTGCTCGCGAGACAGATATCTTTTGAACGCGCGTTAAACACATCGATCGATCGGTGTGAAAGGAAGTGAGAAGTAAAAGTCGAAATTTTAAAATTTTCTTATATTGTATTGAAAAATATTGAGATTGAAATTTTGAGAGCAGCAAGTGTGAAGCGAAGCTTCGAAACTTTCGTTCGATGTAGGTGTATTTTAAGAGATCCAAATGGAGGAGGAATGGGCGGGGAAGAATTTCGCTTTCGAGTCGAAGCGAGGTGATACCTTGCTTCTTCCGTTCTTTCGACGATGACTTGCACGCGGACAACTGTGACGGATAACTCGGGTGTGGAGGAGTGAAGAAGGGAATATCGATCGTTTCCTCCTCGCCTCGACTTCCTCGTTCCTTCGCGGCTTTGTGTTTTATATATACCTGGCCACCATTATCGGATGAGTCAGTCACCGCGATAACTCGTTTATAATAGCGTGTTTACATGCATCAATCTGTCGTGAAACGAGCGCCTCGTCCTTCTTGTTTACCTTCTTAGCCGCGCTCTATTAACGCGAATGTAACGCGGTTGCAAACGTGGACGTTTAATTTAATTTAAAAAAAAAGAGAGAGAGAGAGAAGGAAATGGGCGCGAAATGAAAGGGAAATATTCGATTTTCCCGGATCCTCGAAGGGGATCGAGTCGACGAGGAGACTCGTAGCCAAGTGTTGTTTCTCATCAAAGCTGAGATCCGTGGAACATCTGCCGTTGTTTCTCACGCGACACTGTGAGCGCATGACCAAAAGGAAGATGTGCGTGAAACCGATGGAGGAGAACGAGGAGGACAAGGTTGTCAGCATGATCATCAATTACTTCACCGCCAGGGTAAATATCAGGATTTTTTTAAAAAATAAAATGGCACGATTAATTGTGCGCGTAAAAAATGATTGGGAAAATGATTGATTAAATTTTACAGCAAGGTAAAAAAGAGTAAGATTGCGCGTGGAAAACGTTATTTTCAATCATCACGATTTCAATTTTAATCGCGATTCCTTTTTTTTTTGGAGATTCTTGGAGAAACTGAAACTAGACCAGGAAGAGGTAAAATTCGTGGGAAAAAAAATGATATGAGGTGAGCCTGTTGTCGTGATTGCAAGAATGAAGCTTTGTTGCTTCTACGGATTGCTATTTCATATACGGAGAGTATAGCATCTTTCCGGTGAATGTATGCAATCGTTATGTATGCGCGTGTCATCGCCACTTCGTAATTTCCATTAATTGCAATCTTTCCGCGTAAAGTTCAAACGAATTACTAATAAAAAAAAAAAAAAAAAAAGGAAAAGAAATATGCGGCTCGTGATTAGAACTTTCTAACGTTTTTAACGATCGAATTTTATTACGTTATCAAATGTACAATGGAATCTATATACACACACACGCATACACACACACACACACATATACGTTTATCGTTAATCTGTTTCAGAAAAACTGATCTCTCGAAATTCGAAAGAGATACAACTCTTATGTCGGGAAGTTAGTTGATAGAAAGAAAAAAGAAAGTTTTTCTTTTTTTTTTTTGACTAGGAATAATAAAAATAGATTTTCGTTTATATAAGTTTTGAAAAAGAAAAAATATTATTTATCCGCGCGTAAATTTTCTCGACCTACTTGAATAATAGAAACCTCTTCTTCACCGCGACTAATTTAACATTAAGCTTAACTATAAATAAAATTCCAACATCTCCTTGAAATGTCAACGAATTAATTTGCACGTCTAACGTCTAGCATTCCCATAAAACATTCGTCGAGACGAGAAGAAGATATATATATATATATATATATATATTTCCTTCTGGCGTCTTGGCGTTGATCAACAGCAATTTTTCCGCTGAAATTCTTGGCAAAATTCGATCGGATCCCGCGTTGCCGGAAAACTGCTCGTTATTTCCCGAAACACGCGAGAAACATTTGGAATCGTTCCGAGTTGAGCTGGCATACGGCCAGCTCCTCTCTTCACCCGATGGCCCGAAACAGGAGACGAGAAACACAACCGAGTCAAAAGTCGGGCGAAAGTGGAACGGAATGGATTTTAACAGTTCGAGCTTCCTCCTCGTTGTTTTCACAGAATAGGAAATCTCTCGCGACGACAAGAGAGCACCCATTTCCCTCAGGATGTCTCTCAATTGTTTTCTTCCCCTCTTCTTTCGAACAGTCGAAGATAACACTGACAGTTTTTTGATAATTCGATTAGAATTTATTATCATAATCTCTTTTGTCAGATATTGACAAAAAATTCGAAAAATTTCGTCCCTGTAATCCGAGTTTGGTGAAGTTCCTCTTGCGTAAATAGCCATTTCTCTTTTCACAACGTGTGAGCGTGTTCCAATTTACCAGGTAGCCAAAGAATGAATATATATATATATATTTCACGAGGATAGCCAAGTCTAGACGTTTATTAATAATAATAATAATAATGGAGACAGAAGTGATTTTGGAGGCCCAACGGATCGATGGGTGCACGGTTGATCCGGATACAGGTGCCAAAAGACTGCCAGTATCAAACACGGTGTTGGATACCTTTCACTTGAGCAATGTCACGAAAGATTCTCGATATCCCTCGAGGAGTCAGTCGATGATTTTCACTCGTGGCACCGACACAACGTTCGCTACCATTCCCCATCTTGGAATATGAGCGCGCGCGAGTGATTCGAGTAAAAAAATTCCTCCCCCGAGTGTTTTCAGTTGAACAGACTAAAAATTAAATTTATCATCCTGGAGAAAAAATTTTATCGTGAAAATGTCGACTTAGTGAGCGAATTAAATTTCTTCGATCGTGGATGATCAAGGTAGATTTCTTTTCTCTTTCCTTTTCTTTTCGTGAAGTGTAAAATCGTTGCAGCCCGTGTCATTACTCGTGGACGACGATCCACACGATATATTTCTCTTCGAAATTCTGTTGAAGTTGGAGTCGATCCTTCCTCTATTTTTTCTTTCGAAAATTGTTTCACCCGAATCGTGATATGCAAAACGATTCTCTCGCGATAAATAAAAACGCGAAACGCTGCACGCTTTCATTTGTCACACGATGTACATCTGTCACAGTGTTGGTCGTGATACACCGTTGCAGCAAGATGATCGGAAAATCGTTTAACTTTCGAATGAGAGACGTTTTAGAGGCGGCAAGAAGAGACGCGAACAGTTACATCATACATCAAATTACGAAGTCGCGTCATCGCGTTGCAACGCTCAATTAATCTTGAGCGTAATTAATTCGATCCGGGGAACAGAAGATCGATGGTGGAAAAATTTTGTCGTGATCATCGTTGTGATGAACGTGAGTGATCGATCGTCGATCGCGATTTAACGCCGAATTACGCGAAAATCGATTCGACATGCCGCTTTCGAGAAGATGGGTTATTGAAATATAATAGTAGGACAATTGCGGCCTCTCATAAATTACTTCTACTAGAGAAAATTCTGTACTACGCGTGATGTTTATTGAATAAAAGAATTTTCAAGAAAGATCATCGAAAACTTTCGCAACTCTCGCTATGGAGAATCAATGATAATCTCGAATTAACACAATCTGATTTTATTATAACGTCCATTTTATCGAGCCAGAATATAGGCTGATTTTATATATAATTTGCAAAATTCCAAAATTATCCGAGAACAACTCACGATAATTTAATTCTCTCGAATTAAATCGTGTACCAAGCGTCAATTTTACAATCGCACGTTTAAATATAATTGACGATACAATCGGTTCGTTCGAGAGCAAAAGTTTCGCAAGTTGCTCTCAAAACTGCTGTCCAAAAATTAATCACCAAGAATTCAATTTTTGGTTTTACAACGTCCATTTTTATCAAACCGAAACGTACAAACGTAGATTTCATGCTTATAATATAATAATTTATTCAGGAATAAATCCTCAGTTGCTTTCAAAACTATCTCGAAAAATTCCCTAGAATGTAATTATATTATAGAAACTAGTTAAATATAATAACAAATCGTATGCTCGAATTAACCCATCGAATATCCCCACGATTTCGGTTTTACAAAGTCATTTTCCATTTTATCGACGTTTCGTTAAAACCATCGATTTCTGAACGACAGCGCGGTCAATTTACAACCACTGGATCATTTACAAGTGTCCCGTGTTTTATCCCTTCCTCTCTCTCTGTCTCTCTCTCTCGCAGAACTTCTTCTCGAAGAGGTCGTTCCGCTCGAACCCGTTGAAGAGGACGAAGAGCGTGACGAAGCTCGAGCGACAGAAGCAACGCGGCGCCGGGCTTCGGGGTTGCCGTTCACACGAGTCCCTCCTCTGCGGGCAGGCGGTGACCTCGATGGACCTCGCGGCCGTGACACCGCTGCATCCGAGCCTGCTCGGCAGACCTCACTGCTTCCAGGTCACGCCCAGCACCGGTGGACCCAAGTATTTCAGTTGCAGGACCGCTCACGAACGGGACCAGTGGTTACACAGGTTGGTACCGTTCCTTCGACTTTCTTCTTTTTCCCTCCTTCCTTCCTTTCTTTCTCCCTCGTTTTCTTTCTTCGCTTACGTTACGCTCACGAAACTGAACCAGCTCTCAGCCCGTTAAATGAACGGCCATCACGGTGTAGGACACCGTGCTCATCCGATAATGATATATGTATATTTGAGATTCGTTTGAGAACGATTTTTAAAAATTTTAAGGTTAGGTCTCGCTTTAAATCAAAAGATCGATTGTGTAATAATAAGTGATTAAAATTTAATTCTGATCTAATTTATTTCCAAGCAAAATCTTCACGAGGCTACCTACAATAATTTTAATAATAACTTTTTTTTTTTTAACCTATGAGTCTTGTTCTGAAAGCAAGAAATTACGAAAACAAGAATTTTAAGGTTAGGCCTCGCTTTAAATCGATCGTTTATGTAGTAATAAGTGATTAAAATTTAATTCTGATCTAATCTATTTCCAAGCAAAATTATCACGGGACTACTTACAACGATTTTAATAGTAATTTATTATTTTTTTTTTTTAATCTGTGATTCTTGTTCTGAACGTGAATTACGAAAATAAGAAATTTTAAGATTAGACCTCGCTTTAAATTGATCGTCTGTTGATAAATGATTAAAATTTAATTCTGATCTAATCTATTTCCATGTAAAGTCTTCACAATGCTACTTATAATGATTTTACGACAATATAATGGAAAAAATTATCAAGATCAGATAACGTTTTTTAATAATCGTTATACATATTTTGTTACTTCGCAATGGAATTTATTCTTGTTTTTCAACTCGATTCCATTTCAATCCTTGGATAGATAAAGTGGATCGCACTGAAAGCGAGTGAAATTTCCCTCCCCTGATTGTTGAGATCCGAGATTGATGATATTCCTGGCAAGGGATTTTATTCTACTTGGATTATAATCGGTGGAATTGAGCTGATAGTCGGTTGTCGTTGTTGTTGGAAACGCAGCTTGAGGAAATCCGTTCAACCCGACGCGGAGCAGACACGGCGCACGGACAATTCGTTGCAAATATGGCTGCTCGAGGCGAAGGGTGTGCCGGCCAAGAAACGATACTTCTGCGAGGTATGCCTGGACAGCACTCTGTACGCGAGGACCACGGCGAAACTGAAGGCCGACCTGTGCTTCTGGGGCGAGCACTTCGATTTCCATCACTTGCCCTCCGTCAACACCATACAGGTGAACCTGTACAGGGAGGCTGACAGGAAGAAGAAGAGGGACAAGAACGTTTTGATCGGTGAGCTTACATCTTCTCAATTGCATAGAAAATTTTAACAAATCTCTGTGCATGTGCAAATTAAACCTCGATATTCGATCTTGGATTTTGGAACGAAGCTTGGTCCAATCTAATTCGCCGCATCAAAAATGTATCGCGTTTTACGCCTCATCGAGTCGCTTTGACGGTGTTTATTGAAAAAAAAAAAAAAAAAGTTTCCTCGAAACAGGATATTTATAACTTTTAATTACACTTTGGAATCGAATAACATTATACAGAATATGATAATATTTTCTTATTTTAAAATCTGTTCAAAAATAATACCTTTGCGTCTGTTGTTGCAAAAAAAGAAGTAAATTATCTTTCTTCGCTAACTTTATTCGTTGCAAACGTTCGGGCAAGCTGTCTCCAAACTGATTTGGCATTTCTTTCTATCGTGATTCTTATTATCGAGGAATCTCGTGAGAAACAAATGAAACTATATACTGTAATACTTTATAGAGAATTACGGTCGGCCGTAGTAAAGGTTTATAAATTTTATAGCTGGAAAGTAGTTGGTGACATTTTGTTTGATATCTCGTCGCAGGTTCCGTGAGTATACCGGTGCACAACGTCACGTCTCGTTACCTGACCGAGAAATGGTACACCGTGGTAGGAGACAAAGGGCCCCTGAAGGAACCTCCGGCGTTAAGGGTGAAATGTCGTTTCCAATCGGTGGACATATTGCCGGTCCAAGTGTACCAGGAGTTTTTGGAGTATTTGAAGACGGATTACGCGTCGCTGTGCGAGAAATTAGAGCCGGTGATCGGTGTCAAAGCTAAGGAGGACATCGCAACGGCTTTGGTCGCCGTCATGCAGCGCGAAAAGAAAGCGCCTCAATTTCTCGCCGACTTGGTCATGATGGATATACACAGAATAGGTGAATCACGATGATGTATAGCAAAGAAGCAAAGATTTATTGATTTTTTTATGTGCGATATAAACCTTCGTGCATTTCTTTTTATAGTTTTGTATATAATTTATGTTAAGTTTAATAAAATCAGAGATGTGCGAGTTTTACGTGAAACGTTACGAGTAATATTTTTGTAAATTTAATATTGAGTGTAAAATACTCGAAGTTTTCTAAAAGTAGCTAAATTTTCTTCCAAGATGCGTAAAAATTATATAAACAATTGCTGTAACAAGAAAATTGTAATTGAAAATTTTTGGGCATATTTAAAATTGATTTCACCCAGCAAATATTCGTCCATTTATTAAAGGAAAAATATTGAATTTCAGACGACGAGAGGCTCACCTTTCGAGGAAATTCCTTGGCCACGAAGGCGATGGAGGCCTACTTGAAGTTGACGGGAGACAGGTACTTGCAAGAGACCTTGGGGGCTGTTGTAAGGGGAGCGGTGGAGGGTGGCGACTGCGAGGTGGATCCGCTGAAGGTCGCCTCGGTGGCGGCCCTTCACAAACAGCAACAGAATCTACGAAACGCCGTGGAACTCGCCTGGAGCAGGATACTAGCCAGCCACGCTCACTTCCCTCTCGAATTACGCGAATGCTTCCGTATATTCCGCGAGCGTCTCGCTGACATGGGCCGCGAGGACATCGCCGACAATCTGATCTCTGCCTCTATATTCCTCAGATTCCTGTGCCCTGCAATTCTCAGCCCGTCCCTCTTCAACATTACCCACGGTAAGAAGACGAAATACCATCTTCTCTTATTCTCTATATACCTTCCTGCCTCTTAGTCTAACATTCCAATTTGAAGAGAAATTTTTTCAGAAATTTAATCGATTAATAGAGAATTCGTTGATATGCTCTTTGACAAGTTTCGTAGATTAAATAAATTGTGTTGTATCCTCGTCGATTCGCATACGTAGCACATAATCTATATTGCTTTGTATAGGATAGGCGTGTGAAGTCGAAAATTGTCGAGAAAAGCCGAAAGAGACCGAATGTTTAGTCCAGAATATCGGTTACGAACAAATGACGATTCTGAGAATGTGTGTATGTTTTGACTACACAGTAACGGTAACAGTAAGGCGGTGAGAATGTGTTTCGTGTACGTGTGAAGTTTTTAAAAGTGTGGCACGATTGAGAAGAGAAACAGTCGTTGTCGAAAGGTCGCGAAGGAAACGTTCGGAACGAAAAGGAAAGAATCTTTTCGAAGAATCGCACAATTTCACTCTTCTCTTCCCAATGCTTTATTCCTTATTGTGAAAAAGAATGAAATATCTTATCTTAGTAAAATTCGCTCTGTCAAATTTGTTCGAAGAAGTAAAATATCTTTTCTAGAATATCCAAACGAAAAGGCAGCGAGGAATCTCACTCTGGTGGCAAAAACGCTTCAAACTCTGGCGAACTTCACGAGATTTCAAGGAAAGGAAAACTTTATGGAATTTATGAACGATCTTCTGGAACGCGAAGCTCCATCCATGAAAAATTTTCTTCAATTGATCAGCGTAAGTAGAATTTCCTTTTTCTAAATATATATTTTCCTATTCCTCGTGATTTGTCGTTTATTAAAATTAACTTTTACAGAGCCCCTTGCCAAAGGATGCTCCAGCCAATAATTCTCTAGAGTTCGACGGATACATAGATCTGGGAAAACAATTGTCTCTTCTGCACGCGCTTCTTCGTGAAAGTTTGGTCACGATAACCTCGTTCTCCTCGTCACTGCCTCCATCGAGATTACCAGAGATCCTCGAGAGGATCTCCATAGCCCTGGATCAATCGGGTCCAAGTCCAGTGCCCGCTTCCCATCGGTATCCGAATATACAGAACAACATCTTCCGCTATAACGATCCCACGATCGCAAACAGCAACACCAATCTGTCTGTATCGGCAACGTCCACGTTGAGTAATCACAGCACGTTGAATGGAACGATCAGAGACAGCAACGAAGTGTTGCAATCGAACACGCTGGGCCACAACAGTTCTCGCAGCCCTAACGTGACCAGGGCTGCTACTCTTCCCCGCAACGCGTACATGCCGACCAATGGAAAGTTGCAACTACAAATCACCACGGACGATTACCCTCTCGAACCACCAGCCTTCGTGTCGCGCTCACCTACGCCCATAGTGAGACAACACAGGGGAATAGGGTCGAACAGGACAGGAGCTGGATACAGGTTGACCGCCAGCGCGAGTCTGGCGAACGTGAATCACTGCCAGACACATCCAGCTAGTCCACAAGGTCGGAGAGTCACAGCAATTTAAAGGATTCCAACTACAACATTACCACGTCGCAGATCAATCAGGCGAACAATTGTACCATTATGGCCCAGCAACAACAGAATCACAGACATAACATAGCGCGATTACAGAACTTGGATATCCATGACAGAGAGGACAACTATAACCATAACAATTACAACGTGTCGAGATCGGCCAGTAGGAATCATTGCAACAAGGAAGAGAACGCGAACCAGATGCAGCATCAAAATTATAATAACGTGTCCAAGACTACCGTGAATGCAAATGTCGTGGTGAATCCCTCGTCGAATCTCACTCTGTCGATTAATCAGCCAAACAACAATTACACCAATAGCAAGACGAACAACACGACTGCCAACGGAAACCTGGACGAGCTGTCCGATCTGTTGAGGTACGCTGACGACGAAGTGTCGGAATCAAAATCTCAGAAAGGATCCCAAATATCAATTTCCCAATTGAGCAATGTTGCCTCGTCGGGTTACCAGAGCTTCGCTGCTTACAGTCAAAGCTCCAGCCCCGTGGATCTCAGCAGCAACAATGCAAACGCACATATACTCAATGCAGCACCGCTTGCTTTCGCCAATCCTGTTTACCACATGGAATCCAATCACGGAAGGAACGGCAGAAGAGGTAGCAGTAGTTCGGAGGAAAGGGATGGAAGTGGTGGAGTGGAGGGTGTGAGAGGCGTTGATCTCAGCCCTTCACCACCGCCTCAAAACAACGTGAGGAATCTGCAGAGAAATAATCAGAACCAGTGGAGGCAAGCCAACCAAACGCACAGGAATAATTCAGAGCAGAGCCAGGGTGTCTGTTGCACGAAATTGAGGAGGAGGCTGTCGTTGGACTCGACGCGAGATCTGTCCGACACTAGCGAGGAGGAAAGCTGCACAACGAGGAGGAGCAAATCTCGTAGTCATCGAAGCATCGATCAGGTAACAGATGTAATATTTATATGTATTTTACATTATATAATTGGTTTCTTCGATGGCGTATAAGACGTATATATTACATTTTTTTGTAATATAGAGAAATTATGTCGAGAAATATATAAGTTTTGTACATATGATGAACTGTTGTATATATCAGTAGAAATTTATATAAATTGAACATAGGTATTATATAACAAAATCATACACTTATGCCAAACATTATATGCCAATATTAATATAACATAATAGCAATAAGCATATAAAGTGCCAATTCAATTCAACTTATCTGTCATCAACGAAACCGAGGGGAAAAAATAAATCTCTTCAACTTTCCAGCAGCGAGCAGAGGACAAGAAAAACAATTAAAATTATCTTACCAGATCAAAGAGGAACTTATAATTCTCTTTTGATTCATTGTAACAACATATGTACATATATATACGTAGTAATGTGACCGTTGTGTGAATAACAAGTTCCTCTTTTTACAAAAACCTCTTTTATCGCGCGAGAAGCTGCCGCCGCTGCTGTTGCCGCCGCCGCCGCCATGTGTCCTCTTTTTGTCTCTCTATCTCTCTGTTTCTCTGACCTGTCGCCTAACGGAACTGCCTGCCAGTGTGTGTCTTGTAACTAACAACGCCACGTCTCTTCGTTTCCAGTACGAAGTGGAAATCGAGAGGTTGCAGAGTAGCGTAGATCGACTGAGGGCCCGGTTAGGCGCAAGCGAGGATACCGATATAGATGGCGTTGCACCGGATACCAAGATGAAGAGCATCATTTCCAGGTACTTAATCCTCATTAACGCGACCATTAACCCACCGATTGATTCTTTTGCCTGAGTGTGATCACCCCATCTCACCGTGACGACTAACCACTTTTCTCTTGCGTCTCACTCGAATCCTCTTTTCCGTCTCATGATCAATCACGTCGGTTCTCTTTCTTCTCTTCCATCCTCTCCTCCACTTCTTCGATTTTTTTTTTTTTTTTCTCATTCGACGTCTTCTTTAGGAAGACAAGAGACGGTCCACGGAGAGGTCATCGATTACTTTCGATGGCCTTTTTGTGAAATAGCTTCGTTAATCTTTGTGATGGCAAAGATCCTGATGATGGTGAAACGCGATCTCTCAAATGGCAGACAGAGTTGATTATGAATGATCGAGAAGAAAATAGTAGAATTTAGATTGTATATGTTATTTTATATTATATTCTTTCTATATATTATTGATTTGTGTTACGTGTTTTTATTCTGTTTCTCTAAATGTCTAAATTTTTCTTGTTTTTTTTTTCTTTGTCTCTTGCATTTAGGAAAATTTTAACTGATACGGATTGACACATCACAATATTTGGAAAAAAAATAATAAATATTTTTTATTTTTCAGCGTAAAGTTTATTCAGTTCTGTCTACCAATAACTACCAATTGAAAACTACCAACTTGCTTATTGTTTTAAATAACGTTGTGTAAATATATGAAAAAAAAAAATAATACCGAGTAAACCAAACGAATTAAACAAAACAGAAAATATATTTAATATATATCGTATAAATAATGCTAAATAGCAGAATTAAAAAAAAAAAAAAGAAAAAGTAAGCACCAAGCCGCGTAACTCGAACATGGTTACTGTTTCTCGAAATAATGTATGTTTAATTGATTGTGTGTTCCTGTGCATTCTATCCGCTGCATTTGGTATACTCTGGCTTGATCTGGACCTTGGTGTAAGAGTCAATTATATTTCTAAGCTTCTTACATTTTTACATCACATGTTTTTAGCGTTTTTTGAATTCATATATATATATATATATATATCTCGTGTGTTTTATATCTTGGTTCGACAAAAAACACGCGACGAAACTATTTATCTTTCTATATGTACGCGTTGTTACGAAAAGCTATTTGATACAGAAGTTTCGAAGTTTATTCACCTGTTTTATATGTATAACTATACATACTCTGAATCACTGTTCGATGAACCAGCATTCTCACCCTGCGTGTTTTATACTTACATCACCGTCCAATAACATTACTTCAATCAACCACATATCGATACTTCACCAAGTTTCTCGATATATCAAACACCGACAGCCTTCATACACGCCTTCGATTCACGCGTTCGTTCTGTTTCACGTGTGCACGGTTCACTAAATGCAATCCATGATTTTTGTGTGTCTACGGTAGTGTGTTGCAACGTGCGTGAGAAATATTCAGAATAATTTTGAATCGTATTCTATTCGGTATAAAATTTATTAAAAACTTGTGAAATTCTTTTCAATCTATGAAATTATTGTACAGATAATTGACTTTTATATTTGATGAGAATTTCCTTTTTTTAATTACAATATTATTCCGAATATTTCTTTCGAAACCACTACACTCATTTATACACACATAAAGTTGACAATCGCAGAAGCAGACGCCTGGCTTCTTTGATGAAAAGTGCCCTTTTATCCTGTTGCATTATTGATCGTTCTTTTTGGTTGTCCGAACGTATGATATTTTGCACCAAACACTGCTGCTTTCTTTGACTTTCGTTTCGAAGTTATACATTGATGTTCTTTTCTTCGATATAATATGCATCGTGGTACGCTTGGATCCTATTAAGCATTCCTATGAAATCTCTCATATCTTTATTCATTACATTCATCTTACCAAAATTACATTGTTAAAACCTATTAAAAAAAAATTCATTTTTAATCAAATTCCAACTAAAACTATAGAGAGAGAGAGAGAGTTCACAGGCGAAGCTCAGTTCCATGTGTGCTCAGAACCATCGAAGTAATCTCTGTATCTTCTACATAGTTCTAAACATAGTTCTAACAAAAGAATCTTGCTAGATAATTTTTCAACTAATTTTCTACAAACTGTTCATGTTTTCAAATTAACAAAAATTGAAACGTACGTACGTAAATATATAATACGTATAACGATCGTATAATCAAACAAGACAGAGATTGCTCCATGGCCAAGTTTGTAACGTGGATCGACATTCACGAAAAACACAGAAATGTTCAGAACTAGCTATAACGAACAACTTTTTATTTTAGGTTAATCTCTGTGGAGGAGGAACTACGACGCGAACAACAGAAGATGTCGGCTGCGTTGTCGTACAAGCAGCGCGTGATCGATGCGCAGGAGCAGCAAATAGCCGCCCTGGACGCCGCGAATTCGCGTCTAATGACGTCAAACACAAAACTGTTGTCCGCATTGAGCACCCTGAAGCAAAGATACAACGCGAAAACGAATCAATCAAGCAGCGAAGCGGCCGCGTTGCTGCAGAACATCGTTGATATCGGCGAGCTTAAAAGCTCATCCTGTTAAAGAAAGAAGAACAAGCAACCAGCGCCACTTGGACGTTGCTACATCTGTTTCCTGTTCGAGGACCAGACCGACATCCGATAAATCAGCGTACAAGTTGAAGAATCGCGAGGCGAAACGATGCTTCTGATTCAGATGAAATATATATGATTATAAGAGTCTCGAAACGACTCGATTGCTCGCATTATAAAACGCTCTAGAATGTATTCTAGAAAAGAAACAGCGAAAAAAAGCGATTGGTTCAAAGTTCAATTTACTTTTGATCAATCGTAGATAAATTTCGTTGTTTCTTCGGTTGGTAACACGTATCTGAAAGAAATACAGTAATCCTGCGATAAATTTGCAGGATATTAGGTAGGTTTGACGAACCTAGGTAAAAAAGAAGTATGAGCAAATAGAGAACAAAGAGAGAAAGAGAGAGAGAGAGAAGAGAGAGAGAGAGAGAGAGAAGAGAAGAGGAGA